GTCCTAGAGAAGGAGTTATAGGCAGTTGTGAGCTGGCTGATGTGGGTGCTCAGAAGTGGACTCTGGGCTTCTTTCTTTCTTCCTTCCTTTCTTTTTTTTCAGTTTTATCTAGACAGGGTTTCTGTGTATATCTCTGGCTGCCCTGGTACTCCCTCTGTAGAGCAGGCTGGCCTTGAACTCTGAGAACCTCCTGCATCTGCCTCCTGAACGCTGGGATTAAAGGCATGAACCACCACCGCTCAGCTATGAACTTTGGTCTTCTTGAGGAGCAGTGTGTGCCCTTAATCTTAGAGTCATCTCTCTAGCACACAATAATTTAGTTCTTATGAGGCAGATACAACTGGCTTGGATGTAGGGAAAGTATCAGGAGCCCAGGAGGAAAGGGATTTTAGTATTATTAGGTGGGAAATATTGAAAAATGAAAATATCTAGATATTCTCTATTTGTACTCTATGCTAGACAAGTGGTTCTGGACTCTGGCTGCAATCTAAGTGGGAGGGGAGAGAGGAGAGAGAGAGAGAGAGAGAGAGAGAGAGAGAGAGAGAGAGAGAGAGAGAGAGAGAGAGAGGAGAGAGAAAGACAGAATATGTTACAGTCCTAGAAATCCTCGGTCTGCAGAGTTGGAATAGTTTCCATACTTGGTGGGCATGCATGAGCTGTTGGAAAATGTAATTTTAGCACTAATATTGCAAGGGACAAAGGTCAGAGGATGCCATTGGAAGACACAAGACACCTGTGACAGGGCATTCATTGTGACTGCCTCATATTTAAAAAATATAAGCACAGATGTGGAAGTGGGAAAGGAAAGTATTTGTGGAACACTCCAGGGCACTGCTGGAGTTCTTTACACACGTTGCATCCGTGTGCACACGGTGTCAGATGAATCTGTGAGTGGCCTGCTCAGGCTGACCATTATCTCCAGTTTGTAGGTTGGGGTGGGAACCGATTCATGGTGAGGAATGCTCTTTAAGACCACACTGTAAGTGAGAAGCACCCCATTGCTGTGATAGCATAGTGTGATAAAAGCAAACTAAGGAGGAAGGGCTTATAGGAACTCTCAGTTCAAAGAACGGTCCACCATGATGGGGATGTCAGGCCAGCTGGAGCTCGAAGCAGCTGGCTCCATTACACCACAGCTGGAAAAGAAACAAGAAGGCATGCATGCTGTATCTGCTGTCCCTATTTGACGAAGTGCACTTCTCTTGCTCAGGGATTAGTCCCATCCACAATTAGAATGGTTCTTCCCACACCCATGGAAAGTAATCAAGACAGTCCCCTAGCAGAATACCCAGAGCCCGTTTCCCAGGTGACTCTAGATTATATTAAACAGACCTTTAGCACAGACCATCACAAGTGGGATTTGAAGCACAGCCTTACTGGTTATGCTTGTGTTATTTCCATTTCGTTTGGTTTTTCTTTCTGTATTTCCTCCCTCCTCCCTCCCCCACTCCCCACTATCATTTTCATCTTCTTCTCTCCTCCCCCACAAGTCTCCCCCTCCCCCCAAGCTGTCTGTGACTCTCTTCCAAATAGCCAAGAAAAGGACAATGGACATTCAGTAAACAGATAGTTATGATGAGGCATACTGAACAAAATTTCTTATTTTTTTTTTGTTACCGTGGATCTTACATTCTTGTGGGGAAGACAGACAACAAATCAGGAATGAGCCAATGTGAAATTAAAAGCAACAAAATGATATTATGATCACGATAAATAGATGGTGGTCATGGGAGCTATTTTCGGAGAGTGGGGGAAGGTTTGGGGGAGGTTCTGTGGGTTTTCCTGTGAATGAGCTGAATTCAGAAGGTTGAATTCTCATCTGCTAGCAGCTGCAGCTCTCCCTATAGAGGGGACCCTGTAGGGGACAGGCAGGCTGTTAAGAGATTCAGTCTGCCTTCTCAGTTAAGGTCAATGTGAGTTGAAGTTTTCCAATGAACTCTCCAATTTTTCTTTTCTAAACTTTGTGTAATTTTGCACACTGTGTGGAGTTCTGATGATGTACCCTGTAGCTTAAATAAATTAAATAAATATATATATATATATAATTTATTTAACTTTTTTTTTTTTAATGTGCTTTGGTGTGAAGGTGTCAGATCCTCTGGAACTGGAGTTGTAGACAGTTGTGAGCAGGCTGGCATGTGGGTGCTGGAGAGATGCTCAGCCGTTAAGAGTACTGGCTGCCCTTCCAGAGGACCTACTGGCTTTTGTAAAGGCAGCTTTTTCTCTGCACCTCCTGCCTCCTCTGGGCTCCATTAGCTGCTTTGCATATGATTCTTGTAATTTAATGGCATCTAATGACACTTTTCTGTGTGCCTTGCTGCCAGCCACACTTGGAACACAAACCCAGATGCACATAGCAGGAAGAGAGCAGCCAAGGCCTCCGGGTCGCCGGGAACTTGGCGGGAAGCCCCATTCACACTGGGAAACATACTAGAAAAATAAACTTGGCGCTGGTGACCCGCAGTCTTTCCTCTTGTGAAGCTATGGCGATAGCAGCAGACCACCAGAATCACACTCGCCACCCTTCAGAGGAGCTGAGAAATGCTCAGACACCAGCTTATCTCAGGGCGGCACCGTCTGCCAGCCTCGTGGGGCTGTGTGCTGTTTGGGTTGGCGCTGAGCACAGCCTTCTATTTTATGTAATAAGGCACATCAGAAAGGCCTTTGTGCTTGCCCCCTCGAAGCAGCGCTGGGTGAGATCTCATTTGTACTCCATCATTTAATGTATATTTGAAGCCAGGGTATTTCTATGTGGCCTGGTAATTTTTCTTCTAAAAATTTAGAAAATTTTTAACATTTCTCCTTTCCCTCTACCTTTCCTTCCTTCCTTCCTTCCTTCCTTCCTTCCTTCCTTCCTTCCTTCCTTCCTTCCTTTCTTTTCTCTTTTCTTTCTCAGCCCACTGTTGTTTTACCCAGGGCCTAAATTCTCATGGCCTGGTTTTGGTTTAAAGATGAATGTACAGTTTTCTTAACATGGATGTGACACACACACACACACACACACACACACACACACACACACACACACACACCCCTGTTTGTGTTCAGTCAGGAAGGCTCCCCTTTTCCAGTCTGTACCAAGAAAAAGGCATACAAGAAATAGACAAGATTCTCTCCGAGTGGCCTTATATTCTGTCCGCATCTAAGGTAAAACCTATTTTCTGACTTTAAACAATTTCTGGGTTGGATTATCAAGGGAAAGGTCCATTAACGTTCCTGGCCACTTAACTTTGTTATTCATATCTCTTTTTCCCATTAATTTTTTTCCCTTCCTAGCACAGTGTTAAATGTTAGCATGAGGTGTTGGCAGCCTCTTTGAGGGAACAGATTGCCCTGAAATAAACACAGCTGGAAACCGACCGCCTATTGTTTTTCTTTCTGTTAGGAAATGAAAGAGACATTTATCAAAAGGCTAGAGAGCTGGGCTCTCAGAGTTACTTCTGGGATTTCTAACTGCAGGGCTGTTTAATGAGCAATGCCACCCCTGGGTGTCTGAATGGGCCAGCTAACCTTCTACCTCCCTGAGTGGCTTCCATTGCCCAGGAACAATGAACTCACCGATATTTGCTACCACAGGAGGTCAGGAGGTGGAGTCTGCTCTGTTCTTTGCCTCCAGCTGAAGTGTGCTGGCTTTGGAGCTCAGTAAGGAATGACTTCTGGTGGGGTTCTTTCTGGAGTCCCTGTGTTTGCAGGTTTGAAAATCTCCTGGGCCATGTTGACGCTTCTGGAGATGGAGAAGTAAGTTCAGGAAGGTTGTGGATATGTGTATGGTCTTTGTGTTGCTTGGCATATAGCTTCAAGAAAAGAGGGCATTTGGCTGGGTTCTGTATATCCTGAGGTTTATTCTTGCTGTCTTGGAGTTGAATGTTTTGAAATTTTACGCTTGTGAAAAAGTTGAACACTGTGAAAATCTCTAACTTGTAGATAGTCAGGGGTCAGATGTGGAGAGAGCTAGGAGCCACCAGTTCTGGGGCAGAGTGATGGGCTGTGGGGTGGGTGACTGGGTGCACATGGGAAGTGGGGGAGAGCCAGAGGAGGGCTCTTGGTCATTTATTCCGTTCATTTTGTGCCCAGAAGTCTCTTTCCAAACTTTCTGTTCCTTTATCCCCCATTTCACTATCTTTGGGTAGATGTTTTGATAATTTATTGTGTTATGGCGTCATACCCAGTTGTGGTAATAATTGCTCCTGATGTTTTCAATCTTTTTAAATGGAGATTTTCCTCTAAAAACAGTGGTCTCTCTTCACTCCTGTCATATAGCAACCACATCAGAAGCGAGGAATACTAACTTCTACCTAAGGTTTGAGTGAATGACCTTTGGGTCATCTCAGACAAAAATATATTTTACTTAATTTTTGTTTTGTTTGAGGGAACACCAAGGTACCATTTGTTCGGCTTTTCTGGTTCTGTCTTTGCTTGTATTGCTAAATGTTTGTCACAATTTGAAGTGGAGCATCTTGTTCCTCTCTGGAGTGACTCTTCCAAATGGCATCGCCTGTCTCTGTGGCTGAGAGATTCATGGAGGAAACTACTTCAAGTTAAACCTTCCATGTTTTGAAAATGGCATATAGATATTTTCTCTATATGATCACAAGGAAAAGGTTCTTTGGGTATCTCAATGTTTTTCATATGACTTGTCTGGTCTGATCCTTCCATTTGGTTCAGGGAAGTAAATGCTGATGTTATTTCTGAATTTTACAGCAGGGCAGACTGAGAGTTGTAGAGGACCCAGTTTCTATTCCCAGCACCCACAAGGTGGCTCACAATAGCCTGTAACTCCAGTTCTAGGGGTTACAAGCTGCATTTCATTTGAGAAGCTGTCTGATGCCCTGGCCCCCATCACTCACTGGCTGCTTCCTTTGCAGGTTGTGTTCTGAGCTAAGAGATGAGAGTAAGGTACCTGTGAGGATCTTTTCCCTTTGCTCGGGAGTCTCTGCCCTTGCTCAGAATTCTGCAGCTAAGTAGACTTTGACTTTTTACCTTTGTGTCCTTCCTCGCAGGGAAGAAGAGAAACCCGGGCCTTAAGATTCCAAAAGAAGCATTTGAACAACCTCAGACCAGTTCCACGTAAGTCGTCAAGATGACGGTTCCGTTCCAAACACTTGTATTTTACATGCTTGCAGTGAAGGACTAGTGTGCAAGGTCTTGATTTTGCATGTGGTCGTTAGAAAGAGCAGCCCTTTGAAAGGGAAGTCATTTGCTCACGCTTCTGAGCTCTGAAACAGTCTGTTAGTCTACATTAGTCTGTAGCTTTGAAGTCAGTGTCTCAAATTGCTGGCTGAGTGAGAGCTACATGCCACGTGGTGCTCGAGATCCTATATAAACCCAGAAAGTTCTGCAGGTGTGGACTGTCTCGGTATTTCTCTGTAGATGTCAAATAAATCCACACGTGTAGGGGAGCACTACTCTGAAAAGTGAATCGAAATGGAAGGATAGTATTTAATGAGCTCCTGCATTTTGACACTTAATCCTGTCTTTATAATCAGAATGCAAGAGAAGCTAAAGGAATGCTCCTGTCTTAGCTGAAGCTTTGGCTAGAGTGAAATAAAATCCTCCTGTATGGCTGAGGTTGGCTGGGTATCTCCCATGCAGCTGGAAGTCCACGAACCGGTGCAGCTGCCTACAGGGATCCAGGACAAGAAACCACAAGAGAGGCCCTAGAAGGGCAGAGAAAGTACAGAGTGGAGCTCTGCGTCTTTATGGCTTCAGTTCACTAGGCCTCCTGGTAAAGGAAATTTTACCTTAACTGTGACCCGTCTGACAGAAAGAGCACCCCCTAGTGTTTGGATATGTTCATGAAAGTGACCTATTGCCCAGGACATGGGTCCCTGGATTCCATGCAGCAACAGAAAGAGACTTCCTAGGGTAGAGACTGAAGTCAGCTGGAATATTCTTTTCATGAAGATCTGTAGGAGGAAATCTTCCCCTACCTACATAAATATTGGGTTTGTTGGAAGGGGGATTTTTTTTTTTTTTTTGTCTGCAGAGTCTGGGGTTCTCTCCAGTTGTAAATGTAAAAAAATGTGTGACTAGATTTTTTAAGAATTTCTCTTCTGTTCTTAGAGAGCTTATAGTCAAACATGAAGTCTCCTTATGCTAGTCTATATAGGACTGTGTGGTAGGAACTTTGAAATAATTATTGTCGTAAGGGGTTTTAAAGAAATGTGCAGAAAAGTTCAATGTGCCTTTTCCCCAGCCTATGCACCTTCATTTCACAACTTCTACAAATGTAGAGCATTCGCATAATCAAGAAATCCATACTGGAGTGGATTACATAACTTATTTGATCTCACTAGCCATACAGCTCTCTCTCTCATGCGAGTGTGTGTGTGTGTGTGTGTGTGTGTGTGTGTGTGTGTGTGTGTGTATGCGTACGTACGTGTACTTACCTGACTGTGGAAGTCACATGAGACACAGGTATTGAACTCAGGTTCCTAAGTTTGGCTACAAAGACCTGTATCCACTGAGCTGTCCCTTCTGGCCCCATGAGTGGCTTTTGAGTTCTTTGTGTGTTATAGGCACAAGAACTTGCCCAGTTAACTCATGAAAATACTTATTCTAATATGTAACTTGTCTTTTTCATTCTTTCATCAGGACTTTTTACACGGGGAAAAATTGATTTTGATGAAATACTATTTATTAGTTATTCTTCTTACAGATTATGGTACTGTGTTTAAAAACATTCCCCCCCCCCAACCCCCTTAGGTCCTGAAGATTTTCAGTATTCTTGCGTAGAAATTTTAGTTTTATGTTGAAGCCCAAGATACGTTTGGAGTTAAGTTTTCGTACAATATGTGATGCACTGAGGGCTTTTGTTGACACATTTCCAGTTGTAGTTCAGTTTTCTGTAAACCGTCTCCCCCATTGAATTACCCTTTTCCTTTGTCAAGCACTAGCTGGGCGCATTCACCTTGGGCCAGTTCTGGATTTTCTATTCTGTTATACTGATTTATGGCTCTGCTCTTATTCCAGGCTTGTGCTATCTTGATTGCTACCATGGGGGAATGAATGTGTCTTCTGTTACTTGGTTCTTTTTGAAAAATAATTTTATTTTTTTTAGGCTTTTGTATATGTACGTGCCTGTATTCCAAAGTTATGTTGGCCCTTGAAAGAACCAATCTATTTTCTTGTTAGTTTTAGAATAAACTTGTTCTTGTCTGCAAAGATACTTGCTGATGTTTATTAAGAATTGAATTTAACCTGGAAGTCAACCGAGGGAGAATAGATACCTCTTTTACATTGGGGCTGCTGGTGCACGCACATAATACATTTCTCTAGGTATTAAGATCTTCCTCCCTCCCTTCCTTCCTTCCCGTCCTCCTTCCCTCCATTCCTTCCTTTCTTCTTCTTTTGGTTTTACAAAATAGGGTTTCTCTGTGTAACAGTCCTGACTGTCTTAGAACTCATTCTATAGACCAGGCTGGCCTTCAACTCACAGAAACCGACTCCATTTGCCTCCCAAGTCCTGGGATTAAAGGTGTGCACCACCACAGCCCAACTATTTTTATTTTGCAATATGCCTTCTCTATGCTGGGATTAAAGGCATGCACTGCCAGGCCTAGCAATTTTATTGATTTCTTTAACAATACTTGTTTTATTGCCCCCTTTTTTTGTTCCCAATTTTGTTGTTTTCTATCCTTATTTTATACATTTCCCCGAAGTCATAGTCTTTGTTTTTTGTTTTGTTTGCTTGCTTTGTTTTGACATAGGGTCTCATTTGCAATCCTGGCTGGCCTGGAACTTGCTATGTAGACAAGGTTGGCTTTGAATTTATGGAGAGCCCACTCACTGCCTCTACCTCTGTAGTGCTCTGAGTAATAGTGAGCACTACCACGGCCAGCTCCAAAATCTATATTCTTATATTGAGTTGAGCGTGTCATTCAGTGTTAAGGCACTTGCCTAGCATGTGAGGCTTGAGTTTAATCCCCAGCTATAAAAACAAGATATATTCTTATCTCATGTCAACCACTCAGATGCCTTACAATCCTTCTCTTTAAAATTTTATTATTTACCCTTTCCTAATATTTGCCAATTTCTGTACTTTATGAATTTTGAGAGCATCCCTTGGTGTAAATAAATGGACTGGAACCCAAGCAAGGATAGAAGAAGTTTCTAGGCTGTTGCTTCTTGGAGTAGAGCATTCTTTCAAAGTATGGTTTTGTTTCACTGTGTAAACTCGGGAGCACTGTTTTGATGGACCTTTACATTTTTGCTCATGGAGTCTTATGAACACTGGGGCTTCAGTTTACCTCTAAAGATAGAGCTTCTGCTTTTTGTAATTTTCTAGGCAGTCTTGATATTTGGCAGCTGTCTCTCTTCCTTTCTGCTGTGCTGCGGTAGAGCAGGGAGCCTGGGACCAGGTGTCAACCCTATGTCAGCTTGTGTGGATTCATCATGTACTCATTCTTGGCTCACTGATGCCAGGCTGTCTTTGTCTCAGGTTTCTGAGTTGTCCCCTCCCTTAACTGGTAGTAACGAGTTCAAAATTGACTCTATGCTAATAATGATCAGTTCATTTAACCTTGACAAGGCAGTTGGTATGTGTGGTGGGGAGTTGTTCTTATTTTCTTGAGAAGTGAAACAGGAGAACTATTCAAGGGTTAAGTGTTGTGCGCAATGTCCTTCAGCATAGCTTCATGGCTAAGTTTATATCTGGACTCAGATTCTCTAGTTGAATACTGTAGTTTAGGCATCATTTCTAGCTGCACCAAGCTTGAGTTTCTTCTTCAAAAGATTAGGGCTAAATGATGTGATCACTATTAAGATTAGATGTCCTCATCTGTAGCTCAGCTCTTGGTCTGTTATAATAGGTGCCCAGTGAAAGGTAGCTTCAAGTTGTTTAGTTTTATGGTGTAGCTTTTCAGCCTACAAGCTGGCATGTAAACACAGGGATATTGGAGGCTCAACTATCTTGGCTGTATGTAAGATCAGACCAAATAGCTCTTGGGTAGTAAGCTAGGATCCTTGACCTCTTTAGTGAGAAGTCCTTGTGGTATAGCTCTGGATTCCAATGTCATTAGTCATTTCATGTTTTGATGTCAATTATTCCCACCAAAATGGAGATATCGCACCTTTGAGTGTCATAAAAGTTGAAAAAGCCGTTTTGTATAAATGATCCGGTAATGTTTCTGACCCAGGTGGGTGCTTACTAAGATGAACAAATAATACATGTGGTAGTAATCAATGAGTTGACCAATTACATAGCAGGTGGGTGTTTAATAACATAAATGAATAATATGTGTAATAGTAACCAGTGAGCCAATTGCTTGCATAGCAGGTGCATGTTCAATAAAATAAATAAATAATACATGTAATAGCAACCAATGAGCTGGTTCTTTGCATATAGATGTAGATAAATAAATACTTATCAAACTAGGCCATCACTGGTGTTCACGTGAAATACCAGTCTTAGGCGACCTTTGGAATACCTTTGGTCTTCCAGGGAAAGGATTCTGTACTATGTTTGGTTCTTTCCCCCAGAGAAATAAAATATTGAATAACTGACAAGAATATCCACCCACTGTTTAGCCTCCAGTGGAGTCTAATCCCCTCAGGCAAACTTAGATGTCCAACCCTGAATAGAGGGAGCACAGTGCCAGCTAATCCAGTCTGAGCTGCTGGCCTTGGCCCTATTCTTTGATGCTTTTGGCAGACTTGATGAGCCCAGAGGCCCAAGACTTGGGTGGATTAGTCTTTTTCATTAGAGGCCTGAGTATCGGGAACCCATTCCTTGACTCAGTCTTATTTGCATGGGAATCGAAGCATGGGTAAAACACTTTATCCAGCTTTCTTATTACTTCTTTCTCAGGTCAAAGTTGAGGTTCAGGCGACATGAGTTTTAGACTCACTGTAGTTGACAAGTAGTATGTATGATCACAAAAATCAGCAAACATCTGGTTTTCATTTTTCTTATTTGGAGAACAGCACCATGTCCTATTAGCTTGAGGTTAAATGTGACCAGACTGCAGAGGCAGGGGCAAACATTTGGGAATGGTGGATAGGAAATATTTCAGGTTCCAGGAGGCCATGATGGCATCAGTTGTGTGCCCTTTGCTGGTTGTTATTTATTTATTTACTTATTTTGGTAGAATACTGTAGAATTATTAAACTTCTCAACGTCTTCCATAGCTGGGTCATAGGCTGCAGTTTGCCAAGCCGTGGTTTAGAACAGAAGGTATTAGATCTGGAAGAGGTCCTATTTAATGACCTCACTGGTTGGCAAGCAAATGGAGGGAGCCACAAATAATCATGCTTTTTCCTCGGTAGTTTTACCAAGGAAGGAAGGGTGTTAAATAGTTGCAAAAGATTTTATTATTAGTCATGCATTTTAAGTTACATTTGTCCTCCTTTTAAAGGGTTATTACAATTAGTGCAAACAAATTGCAACAACTAAAGAAAGGCCAGCTTTGACTGCTTTAAGAATGAGAAATTGGGGGCTAAAGAGATGGTCCAGAACTTATGAGTGCTTACTTCTCTTGGGGATGACCTGATTTAGTTCCTAGCATACATGTTGGGTGGCTCAGAACTACCTGTAATTCCATTTCCAGGGGGTCTGACATCCTCTTCTAGTCTCCACAGGCACCTAAAGTCATGTGTATCTACCCACACACAGGTACACATACATATACACGATTAAAAAACATACAAATAAATCTTAAAAAAATGAGAAGTTAGTTTTGAGAAACAGGCTTCTCTGAAGAAAAATTGCCTGCTCAGAAATAGTACACAGGTACACACAAACATGCACGCGTGCGCGTGCACACGCGCGCACACACACACACACACACACACACACAATCATGACATGTACATGTTTAAGTTTGTTTTCTTTCTCTCCCAGTCTCACGTTTAAAATTAGCCTAGAAAAGCTTTCAGTGTTCTGCCAAAATGAAATGATATGTGAAGAAAGGAGAGGCTTGCCACAAAAGTCTTAGATTGACATTTATATCTGTGTTTGTATTTCTACCTCGTCTCCTTTATTTTATATGTGTATTTGGTTCAGCAGATGGGATAAAAACATAACACAGAAGGGCTGGGGAAAATGAGCCTCCAGCAAGCGTTCTAATTTCCTCTCTATTCCTCTGTGACAAATTACTCTGATCAAATCAACTTTGGGGAGGAAAGGATTGATTTGGCTTTCATTTCCATCACTGAAGGAGGTGAGGGCAGGAACTGAATCAGGAACTTGGAAACAGAAACCATAGATGAACACTGCTCTCTGGCTCACTCTCTGGTCAGCTGTAGGCTCATTCTTAGCTAGTTTTGTTATGTAACCCAGGTTCACGTATCTAGGAATGGCACTACCGATGATGGATTGGGCCCTCCTATGTCATTAACAATCAAGACAGTTCCCCACAGACATGATGACAGGGTTAATCTAAGCAATTCCTAAATGAAGGGTTTCCTCCCAGATGACTGTAGACTTGTCAAGTGGACAGTTAAATCTAACTAGGGTGGCAAAGTAATTCTTATCTCTCCTTCCTTTTATGTTCTCCTCTTCCTCTTTTCTCTCTAGTTCTCTCTTTGCCCTGCAGGAAGTTAGTTCTGGTGGATCTGCATCCAAGCAGACTGTGATTTGCTAGGCAGTTTGTTCTTTGCAAGGGTGGTACCAGTGTCCCCTGTCTTCATCTCCTATTTGTTCTGTTTGTTTGATCATGTTAACCTCAGGCGTCTCAGCATCTCTTACTTTGGGTGCATTTATTTCAAGAAAGCACCTTTCTCAGTTACTGGTTAGTCACACAGCCAAAGCCAAGCACCTGTCTCTTCAGTTGATTTCTACCAACCCAGAGCACAGAAAATAAAAACCAACGTCTAGGAGGAGACTATGGAAACACAAAGTCAACAAACCTCTGGGTCCTGAGACAATCCCAGAATAGAATGTTCCCTATGCACAGAAGAAATGTCACCGGACTTGGCCTGGTAGAACCAACAGTGTGCTGAGATGGGACTCAGGGGACCTGAGTTCTTTGTGATCTGGAACAAGTCACTTCGCATCCCTAGACCTTTGTTCATCTAATGAAGCAGGAAGGGGTGACATACTATTTGGAGTTCTTGTGCTCTATGAGTTTTGTGAGCTAACAGGACAATATTCCATGTAAACAATAATAGAAACAGATAGTAAAAGTAATTGAATAATTTGGTACTCTTGGATGAAAGGGTTTAATGCCTTCCACAGTAGCATCATTGTCTGTATCAAGGCTTCTGAAGCTTTTTCCACTCATGAACCATTTTTGTTCAACAAATTTTTAAATATAACCTCAGGTATATAGGTATTTAAGAGGAATGCATATCAGACATCTACTGGTGATAAGTAATGGATAACTTTAAGATCATCTCTTTGCATATGTAGAATTTAAGTATTCTCAAATGATTAAAACAAAGTTGTATACTAATGAGACAGTTTGTGCTTGTGTACTTTTTTTTTTTTACATAAACAATTTAATCAGGGCTGAATATCTGCTACTGCAATATGTAGAGTGTCTTCAATGTTTTTCAGAGTTGGTTGGAATTTTTATCTTAAAACAATCAATACTGAAAATGCCACTTGATATAACCATGTATTACAAAACAGCAGGGCTATATTATAACCATGTATTACAAAACAGCAGGGCTATATTTAGGGCTGTTTCAGAAACTTTTTGGAAATTTTGTTCTAATCCCAAGTCAAAATACATTTAATAATTTTTAAATGAAATTCAAGTCAGCAACTCAAACAGCATTTTTCAAAATTAAATATTTCAATACAATAGACACCATTTGAATACTTAAACACCAAGGCATAATAGTGGGAAAGTATTAAAGCCTTGTTTCCCATCATGAAGCCATTATGTTTCTATAAAATCAGAAAGGTTTGTATGTCTAGTGAAAGCACGTCAGCAATAATATGCAGTAGTCTCAAGTTGGATCCAAGCTAACAGGTTTCATTTACTGATGTTTCATGGTATGTGATGATGTGTGTCATACAAAGTGTGCGTGTTGTGTGCTCAGAACCAAGGCTGTGGTGAAGCCACCCCATGTAACACAGGTGAGTGCCACCGGAGACAACTCAGTTCCCTTATGGATTTGATTCTAAATTAACTTTCAGTTGCTGTGTGTTCAGAAACCTTTTACTACTACCAGCTTTTCATAACCAGCACAGTTATACAGCACATGGGGTCACAACCATGATTTTAAAAGCTTTGCTTTGCTGGACGGTAGTGCATGCCTTTATTCCCAGCACTTGGGAGACAGAGGCAGGCAGATCTCTGTGAGTTGGAGGCCAGCCTGGTCTACAGAGTGAGTTCCAGGACTGACTCCATAGCTACTGAGAAACCCTGTCTCAAAAAAACCAGAAAAAAACAAACCAAACCAAACCAAACCGAACCAAAAGCTTTGCTCTATGCCATTCACATGGCTCTTGTGTATTGAATAGTCAATGTAGGATTTTACCTGGAGTATCTCAGTTAACACCTGTCCCTACACCACTGAGTATATATATATTAATATCCCCATGTTAAAGAAGAAGTAGATACTCAAAGAGATGATGTGAGTAAAACCCCAATGTGTTTTATTTCAGGCCTCACACTTCATCCCGTTCCTCTGTTTGCTTGACCTATGAACTTGTCCCAGTTTCCTAAGAGCAAATCCAATAGCTGCCCTGTTTGGGGAAGACATGGCTGGCCAACCATCTCATGCTGCTTCTTTTGTCCCTTATCTTTTTTAGGCCACCTCGAGATCTAGACTCCAAGGCTTGCATTTCTATTGGAAATCAGGTGAGAAAAGTCATGTGGTAGTGACTGACACTTCGAGGTCTTTGTGCTTACTCTTCCCTGTTTCCTGTGGCACCATGTCAGGGGTTGAACTGAAGGAAGTTTGGAATTAGGAAGGAGCTGACTCATGGTGGTTTTGCTATTTTGAATTGTGAATTGCAATCAGGTGATGGTGGTCCCATCTGGAGGGGAATAAATGGCTATCTTGGGGTAGGGCGTGTTTGTCAAAACCACACAGGTCCATAGATGATAAGGAGCTACAGTGTAGATACTTCAGCGGTACAGTTTGGAAGTGAGTTGGGTGGCATTGTGTCTCATGCTGGGGACAAGCAAGGTGTCTACCATGGGATCCTAAACACTTTCTGGTGCTCCTTGCTTTGAGTGGCACCTTGACATGTTAGAAAGACTTGTGGCCCAGCTCTCATACCAAGGACACCAAAATAAACCAGATAGGGGGTGGCATACGCATGTCCTGCTTAGTTTTTGCTTTCCTCTTTTGTGACTACGTTTTGTCCTTGCAGAACTTTGAGGTGAAGGCAGATGATCTGGAGCCTATAGTGGAGCTGGGACGAGGTGCGTACGGGGTGGTGGAGAAGATGCGACACGTGCCCAGCGGGCAGATCATGGCGGTGAAGGTAGAGTTGACGTTCCAGAGAATGGTTTATGTCTTCGGTATATGCGCTTGTCCATCTCAACTGTGAGCTGGCCTTTTTCACAGAAGCAAACACCCTACAATAGAATAAAAAAAAGGACTCTTTGTAGGAATCATTATTTCTGTTGAACTTTGAGGAAGGTTCTTTGTCTACCTGTATCACATCTGCTTCCTATTTATTTCCTGTTTTCCCTGTCCTCCATTTTTAATTTTTAAAGTAAGTGTGTGTGTGTGTATCTATGTCTGTGTTGATACACATGGGTGCAGGTGCTCTTGGAAGCTAGATGAGGGTGTCATGTCATGTGCCCTGGAGTTAGAAATGTAGGTAGTTGTGAACTACCTGGTTTGGGTCCAAGATCTAAACTTTGGTCTTCTACAAGTACACTATGTGTTTATTTCTAAGCAGGGGTGGGTCAGCAAATCAAATGGCCAGCCATCTTCTTTATTTTTCAAATAGCTGATTCTTAGGGATGCTGTAGGTCAGGTTTCTGCTATCAGGGTAAAGTTTGATTCTGTTGTTAGGTTAGGGCCCTGGTGAGAGTCCCTGTCTTTTCAACCGACTCTCCCTCAGAGGAGTAACATACATTTCCCATGTGTTCCCATTCAGCGGATCCGGGCCACAGTTAATAGTCAGGAGCAGAAACGGCTACTGATGGATCTGGATGTTTCCATGAGAACAGTAGACTGTCCATTCACTGTCACTTTCTACGGTGCACTCTTCCGGGAGGTAGGTGATCCTTCAGTTCAATGTTCAAGGAGATCAGCAACTTCAGAATCTCTGACCTCATCATAGTCCCACTGATCTCTCCTGGGCTGCTCTTTGGAGAGAATCTTACTTGCTTGTAAATGATTTTAAAATCTGGAGGAGAAACAATCCCTTTCTTGTGAAAAGAAATCGCCTGTCAGGGAAAAAAAAAAAAAGTTGGTTATTTTTTTCTTTTTCCTCTTTCCCTCCTCAATGACAATCCCTGAACTTGTTTGTCTCCAGGGAGATGTGTGGATATGCATGGAACTCATGGATACGTCATTAGATAAATTCTACAAACAAGTTATTGATAAAGGCCAAACAATTCCAGAGGATATCTTAGGGAAGATAGCAGTTTCTGTGAGTATATTATGAACCCTACCTACTCAAGGGCAAATGGGAGAAGTCCAGGGTTTGTGTCTTTGCCTAATAAGCACCATCTAACTGTTAGATCTGTTATCCCAACAGATTCTTCTGGGTACTGAGAATGTGGGTGGGAGGCTAAACCAATGCTTTTTTCCCCCATCTCTGTGTAGTACATGCAGCCATTGACCTGGTTTGGTAAACCATGCCAAATGCCTCTATCTTCGTTCTGTTTCTTTGGCTGTGATATCAATCAATCAATCAATCAATCGGCAAAAGCAACCTAAGGGAGAAAGGGTTGGTTTTGCTTACAATTCCAGGTTACAGACCATCATTGTAGAGAAGTCAAGGCAGCAGAGAACAATGAATTAATGCATTCATTTGGTTTTCTATATTTGTATGCAATCTTCTACCCCAAAATGGCACCATCCACAGTGGGTAGGTTCCTCCCACTTCAATGAACACAACCAAGACATGCCCACAAGCCAACTTGATCTAGACAGTCTCTTATTAGACTCTCCTCTAAGGCGATTCTAGAATGTGTCAAGCTGGCAATTAAAACTCACCATCACGGCCTCCAAGCCATGTGTTTACCTTCTGTGATGGCCATTCCTATACCTGTACTCAGATGTACTTTAGTTCAACTCTGTCTTGTAGAGTTTTTCTAAACACTGAGGTGTAAAAGAAATGAGAAGCCAAGGCAACCTTAGTGGCTACCACGGTTCAGGAAGGCGGAGGAAACATGATGTGTAAGAGAGATGAAGGAGGCATCTCTGCCGTAAAATACAATCTTCCTTGGCGGAAGGAGTCCATTAGGTAACTTCCTGTTGTTTTCCTGAGTAGGGCTACTACTACTATTTGAGAAAATCAACCATTCAGCAACTTGAAGCAGGGAGAGTTAATAAAACTGTGAAAACACTGAGCATTTAGCTCCTTTCCTGTGATGGGGGCCAATAAATCTACTGTTTCCCTTGCAGATTGTAAAAGCATTAGAACATCTACACAGTAAGCTCTCTGTTATCCATCGAGGTAAGCATGTGTCGAGCCATCTCGGCAGCTCCTTGGACTAAGTTCATTTCTTTTGCCTGGTGTCCCCTTTCCTCCTCCACTCTTCCCTGCGTGTAGGCGTGGGGTTGAGTTGGGGAGGGAACTGAAAGGCTTTCCTTTGGGCTTGTATATCAAATGTAAGTGGTTGTATTAGTCTTCTATCACTGTGACAAAACACTTGACACAATGGGCTGATGAAGAAGAAAGGTTTATTTTGAATCACAGATGGGAGGTTTCAGTAGTTAACGGACATTGTTGTTCTTTGGGCATTGGTGAGGCAGCCGTGTAAGATGGCGGGACCATGTTGCAGAGGAAGCCTGTTAACTTTATGGCCGGGGATAAAAAGGAGACAATTAGACCAGAGTCCCCTTCAAGGGCAGTCCCCAGTGACCTAAAACATCCCTCCAAGCTCTACCTGTTAAGGGTTTCAGCATCTCCCAAATGGCTAAATTGAGGACCAAGCTTTTGCAAGTGGGTTTTTGCAAGATATTTAAGATTCAGCTTATAGGCCTTGGCCATTGTCTTGGCTGAGAATGTAAAAACAAGTGAATTTTGTGTTACACCTAAATTGAATAGAAATTCACGAAGGAACACTATGGATGCATCATTGAAAATCTGAACTGACCCAAGGTGGGGGGACCCCAGCTTGTATTGTGCATCCTGTAGCAGGAGCACAGTCACAGGGTGAATTAGAAGACAGAAGATCCCTACTTGTGTCTGCACAGGTATAGTGTGGACATCTCCAGAACAAGACAGAGCCTTTCCAGGCATCAGGAAGTGGGGAAAAATGTCTCTCTCTCCCTCTCTCTCTCTTTACCAGCCTTCCCATTACCTTTTATTTTCATTTGTGTGTGTGTGTGTGTGTGTGTGTGTGTGTGGTCACCCATGCATGAAAAAAGAGGCCAGTGACTGGGGGAGATGTGAGGCCAGGCAAACAGAAGCAAAGATGGCCATGTTCAAGGAGAGTGTGCTGGATACAGTCGCGGCATTGGCACCATAATTAAAGAAGATGGCCTAACAGCATAAAAACTGACATAGCATAGATGGTGTCAGTACTGACAGACCCTGTCAGGGTCTTTAGCACTGGTGAAAAACCTTAAGTGAACATACTGAAGACCAGAGTACTCTTCAGGTCAGGCCACCGGGTCTGTCTACTCTTCTTCTGTCCATCACCTCCATCGATGAGATCAAATAAAAGATACCCAATCAATGAAGATGCCAGTCCAATCCCCAGAAGCCACTGAGGAGCCAGAAGACCCTTATCCATGTACCACTAGATCAGTACAAAAACACAGATGCTGCACAGCCGCTGTACTACCACACTGGACTCAAATACCAAAGCCCACTATCCGTATTTCCGGGCATAGATGATTTTCCAGAGTTCTTCCAGGAATCTTTGGTGTCCCGTAGCCCAGGATGGTCTCAAACCTGCTATGTAGCTAAAGGATCCTCCCAGACTCCTGCCCTGGTCTCTAAAATACTGGGTTTGCAGGCCCATGCTACCATGCCCAACTGAAGGACTAAGTTTAAGATAAGCCTATTCTTTCTATTCTATGACCTTTGTGCAAAGTGTCCCAGAGGGCAGAAGTTAGTTGTACTTTCCAATTTGACCATCTAGAGAGAGCAGTGCTTCATCTAATGAGGGCATGTCAACGGGTGGGTTAAACCTTCCTAACCTGAATGGTTCTTATCTCCCCTTCTTCAGTGACCTGCCCATGTCTGGGCATGCCTGAGTTTATAACGTTTTACACTATGGTGGCTAACCTCTGACGAACCTCTTACAGAGGTTTCAGTCAAAATGGGTTGCTGTGACCATACATGTATCATTGTGTTGCTCTCTTCCTGTGCGTTCTTCAACCTCTTACTCTCACACTAAGAAAATAGAGCACTTTATTTTCTATGTGTGTAGTGTGTATGTGTGTGTGTGTGTGTGTGTGTGTGTGTGTGTGTGTGTGTTTTCATGCCACAGCTCACTTACAGAGGTCAGAGGACAACCTCAGTGTAAGGAGTAGGATTTTTCCTCCCGCCGCCGGTCTGGTCCCATCGCCACGCCAGCCCCAAATAATACACTGACTCTGTATTTGATACAATGCTGTTGGCCCGGTTCTAGTTTCTTATCGGCTACCTCTGTCTTAAGTATTATTAACCCATTTGTGTTAATCTATGTATTTCCATGTGGTCTCCTCTTCCCTCGGAGAGCCGGCTGCCGTACTGCTCTCTCCAGACTCTCCATCTTGACTCCTCTTTACCCCTTCCTCTTTCCTCCTTGTCTCCTAGTCCCTCCTATCTTCCTTTCCTATTGGCCAACAGTGCTTTATTCATTAGAATCACAGTTAACAATATTTAGTTCATCTCCCATCACCTCAGTGTTGGTCCTTGTCTTCCGTCTCATTAGAGACAATATCTTGTTCACTTTTGTGTATACCAGGCAAGGTAGCTAACCGACACTTCTGGGGCATCTCCTGTCTGTGTCTCCTTTCTCCCCACAAGGATGCTCAGATTACACACACACACACACACACACACACACGCACGCACGCACGCGTACCCAATCCACCCACAGGAGCACACACATGTGCGTGCACACACAATGCACCAGGGTTTTTACATGGGCACTGAGTATTTGAACTCAGGTTACCATGCTTGGATGACAAATACTTTTACCCTCTGCGCTGTCTCCACAGCCTGATCAGTTTGCATGGGACATTTGGTTTGGCAATCGTTTTATCGATAAGAAGAGGACACAGATTTTCCCATTTGGTGTTTCATAACCCTAAACTATACAGACAAAATGTGAAGCATTAAAAACCAAGTGGGAAGGAACAAGCTGTATGTAGCTGTGAGTCAGGATTGGTGGTGACATTTGTGTTGGTCAGATTGGCAAACACACATGCAAGACAAGTGGAGAGCGTAGAGCCCTCTAGTGGTGAAAAAGTGAATTTGTCACTCTTTCTTTCAGATGTCAAGCCTTCTAATGTGCTCATTAACACTCTGGGCCAAGTGAAGATGTGTGATTTTGGGATCAGTGGCTACCTGGTGGACTCTGTTGCTAAAACAATTGATGCGGGTTGCAAACCGTACATGGCTGTAAGTATAGCACCCAAAAGGGTGTGTGTGTGTGCGCGTGCGCGTGCGTGCATGCACGTGTTTGTGTGTGTGCACACACGATGCTGAGAAATGCACCTGCTTGCAAAATCAGGCTAGAAAATAAGAAATGGATGGCTATGAGGGAAGACTGAAATAAACCCCAGACTCAAGAAATAGTCTCCATCGTGTCATCTTCTTAAAGGTCTTATGTCAGAAATTATTTGCCATGTGCTCCATATATTATCTCCATCTTTTGAACTTACTGTAACAAAATCCCACAGACTGAATACACCTTACAGACCACAGGTAGTTTTGTTAAAATGAGTTTTCACCCTGGGAAGTCCAAGATGAAGATACTCGAAGCCTCAGGCTGTGATGAGACCCTGCTTCTCTGGCTCATTGTGGCTTCTTGTAGGTCCTCCCATGATGGAAGGAGCAGGGGAATCTGTCTTGGTCTTCTTTTATGTCAGTATTAACCTTATCCATGGGGAATCCACCCCAAATCCACAGTCATCTTATAAAGATACAACTTCCTATGGTGGACACAGGTGGGGTAAGGTTTTAACATGTGCATTTTGGGATGACACAAACATGCAAGTCATAGCATTATAGTATTACCTTTCAAAATTAAGTTCAAGGGGCGTATTACTTAAAAACACACACAAGTAACAAACACTGGCAAACAGTTTTATACACTAACTTGCATGGGAGTATTAGCTTGATTGCTAAGCACAGAAGATTTATGCACACAGGCAGTTGTGATCATCATAGAACACCTTAAGGCACACACATATTCGCTGCCCACTAGCAAGACCTCGAGATCCTTTCAGTTGGAGGAACACGTTCATTTTGGAAATGGGCTTGTGTTTGGGTTTGAAAGCTTCTTGTCCCCGTTTGAGAAAAAGTCCTTAGGGTCTCTTGACGTAAACCAGGGATGCTCTTAATAGACAGAGAATTTGAACATGTACCCTTGTTCTTAAGGCAGTTCAAATTTGTTATGAGGGATCTGGATTCATTGCTGCCTCTAAGAAAAGACCAATTCAAAGAAGGGAAGCCCTATGGAGACATCTCATAGCCAGTCTTTTGGCCTGGGAGGCACAGTAACTGAGTCAAATAACTCACTTGGCAGCTAGTGCTGTCTCCACCCGAGTCTTTATTGAGCTACACATGGTATATCGATCGTCTTTCCATTTCTTAGCTGTCTCTCTCCTTTCCAGCCCGAAAGAATAAACCCGGAGCTCAACCAGAAGGGGTACAGTGTGAAGTCTGACATTTGGAGTCTCGGCATCACCATGGTAACCTATGATCATCCTTGTGGGCTATGAGGTTTTGAGCATGAAACTGAATGGGGTACTCTTTGGGGACCCAGAAGCGAATATCCTTGACACCACACTTGGGCACCCTTTCCTGTCTGAGATAGCAAGGTCGTTTTCCCAGGCTGATTGTTTGCAGTGAGGTACAGTGGAAACCCTTGAGTGAGATCTGGCAATCCATTTTTTTTTTTTTTTCTGTCTTTTGCTGGTCATATGACCTTCAATAACCCCCATATTCTCATGGGCTATTTTTCTGATAGATACAGGGTTAACAAATTTCTTATAGTCTAAATGATTAAAATTAAGACAAGAAGCATAAGTTGCCCCCCCCAAAGTTAATGTGTGTGGACCTCGATAGGCCAAAATACTTAGTGTATTTTAATTTTTTTGAGGTCAGAGCTCATGGAGCCCAGGCTAGCTTCAAAATCTGTATGTAGCTGAGGATGACCTTGAACTTCGGATTCTCTTCTCTCCACTCTCTAAGTGCTGGGGTTCCAGGCATGCACTGTGTGCTTAGTTTGATGCCATGCTGGCTCTGCCCACTGGGAGATGTCCCCAGCTCAGCACTGAAAATTTTCATGGTGGAAGTTTTGCATGTTGAAACCACATCTGTCCTAAGAACACAATAACAGATAGTGTACTTTTCCCAAACGTGGTCCTATGGCCGCACACTCAGTGCCTTATCTGTTAGCCCTGTGTACATTTTCAGTGTGTCTCTGAGGTCTGGAATTATCCACTGTGGTCCTGGCTCTTGCCCAGGACCAGCAGCTGATTATATCCAGTGAGTTATTCCATGTCCCTGCCCAGAAAACATGTGATTCTGCAACATCAGAGTGGCCTTTACTCAAGTCCAAAAAAAGATCAGTCATTTGGTCCTGGGTAACTTTTTTTTTTTTTTTTTTTTTTTTTTTTTTTAATTTTCCATTTCACAGAGAGACCTCTAGGTGGCAGCAAAGGCACAGTGCTACCAAAGTCTTAAGCATTTCTTTCTGGCCAGATATTTGAAAAACTGGTTGCTTCCTTCCTGCCTTGAACTTTAATGCTCTTGGCTGATAAGTTTTTATTAAATAGCATTCTGGGTATTATCAAGAGGCTCGTTTATTTAGGTGGGTCTAAATAGCTGCCACTGGTAAGCTAATATTAAATAAATAGCACTAAGATTTTGTGAGAACAGGTTATTAGTTTATTTTTCTTCCCTAATTATACTTGAGCTTCACTTCTAGTCCTCCTAAAGAGAAACACAGCTGCTTCCTAAGAGCCCTTCTTAAATGGTTGCCTCCCCGTTTCCCTCCTTTCAGATTGAGCTGGCCATCCTTCGGTTTCCCTATGATTCTTGGGGAACTCCCTTCCAGCAGCTAAAACAAGTGGTAGAAGAACCATCTCCACAGCTCCCAGCAGACAAGTTCTCCGCAGAGTTTGTTGACTTTACCTCACAGTGGTAAGAGGACCCCACACCCCACAGGCCTTTGCTAAAGAAGACAAATCGTCCTCATGACTCTCCTCTGTGGGGTCTGGCCCATCCCATACCCTCATTTCAGAGGCATCCATGGAGTATGTCCTCCATGCTGCAGAACAAATGCAGTCCTTACCCCTAGAATTCCTTGACTGGGACTGTGTTGTGATGTGTTTAAAAGTTGTTTGAAATTCCCACTGCCCTGATTTCTTGCTACGCTGAACTATCACCTGAGCTAAAATGAACCTTTTCTTTCTTAAGTTGTTTTCTGTTGGGGGGTGTTTTATTCCAGCAACAAAATGAAACCAGGACAGAACTGTAAGCAATCTGATATTGATTCCAGACAAAGGTAGCAAGGCCTGGTGGAAGGCTAGGGGTAGGGAGTTGATGCAAAGATTTATTTATGCTGAGGAGATTGTGGGGCATTCAAGAATGTCTCCTGGGTGTCTACAAGTCCTGCAGAACTTTGCCTTCTGCAGAACCCATGTTGACTGTGGATTCGTTTACCCATGCAGGTGTAGTAGATAGTATTGGGGGTTTGGAGGCAAATCCAAAGAAAGCTGGAACAGAAAGACAGAAGGGAGTTACTAGTATAGTCAAGGAGAATAAAAGAGGACATAGCATTTTCCAGGTACTCTCATGATGTCTGTCTACCATGGCCACGATGCTTACTTAACACAGCAGGGTGGTAGTGGCAGGGAAATGTCAAGATTATAAAGTGGAACCAAGTTCGTTTATATGGCTACTCTGTGGAAGCAGATGGGAACTAGGAGGGAGTGGGTGGGTCAGAGCTGGCTGTGGTCCCAACTGTGCTTCTTAGAGTTGCCCCTGTGAATTGACCGAGACCTGGGAAGACTCCATGAGGTGCAGAGGATGCTGAAGCAACACTGCCTTGGCCTTCTTGCTTCTCTGGAAGTGGTGTTTCAGATGCAGCTTTTACCGGAAAACATGATGAGACAGGGCAGCTCTTGGCTGTTATGGGCTGTTGCTTGGTACTCAACCCCTTCTTCCTCCTCCCGGTGTTTTCCCCTAATGTTTTACAAGGCTACCATGGTGGTTTATTCCGAGTTTTCATTTTGGCTGAAAGACCAGAGAGAGCTGGAGTACTGGACTCTAGGGCAATGTTATTGGGTGTCTTTAATAGCCCCCGCCCCCGTCTCCTGAAGTGCGTCCTGTTTTCCTTGAGTGATTGTGTGGGTGAGTTGATGTATCTGCCAGGTTGAAATTGGGTCATGGTTTTGCCTTTTAGATGAAAAAACTCGACGGGTTTTGTTTTTGTTTTGTTTCACTTTTTCCGCCGTATCCTCAAGTGTTTAAAGGTCACACAGGAAAAGCCGTGAGTCATGTTACATAGTTGACTCCAAGACTTCTCAGGAGTGTGCTCCCGGGAGAGGATAGTGCTCCCGGGAGAGGATCCTGTGTAAGGATGTCTCTTCACGCTTCCCTTTCTATCGCTCTTCTCCTACCTGGCTGGGACCCCTTCTCCAAGGATTCTGGGTATCTCAGGAAGCTTCAAGAAGAATAAGGCATGTGTGAAAACTTCTAGAATGATGAGTCTCCCGTTATAGACCCATGATTTAATGTAGTCCTCTGGTCAGTCTCTGGTAAACTTTTACAAAGTGCGGACCCCTGAGCTCTACCCTCAGCATCAGTATCTTTCAAATGCTTGCAACCTTAGCATATGTCTTAGTTAGGGTTTTTATCGCGGTGAAGAGATGCCATGACCACTGCAACTCTTGTAAAGGGAAACATTTAGTTGGGGCCGGCGTAGAGTACAGAGGTTTAGTTCATTGTCATCACAATGGGAAGCATGATGGGACACAGGCAGGCTCGGTGCTGGAGGAGTTCCACATCTGGATCTGAAGGCAGCACATAGAGAATGCCATACTGGGCCTAGCTTGAGCATCTGAGCCCTCAAAGCCTACCCCCAGTGATGCACCTCTTTCAACAAAACCACACCTACTCTAACCAGGCCAGACCTCCTAATAGTGCCACTCCCTATGGACATACAGGGTGGGGCGCATTTTTATTCACACTTCTGATGCAATCTCTCAGCATGTGGTGAGAACCCCAGATTAGATGTCAGTTCTGTGCACATGCCTGCAGCTGCCCAGCGTTCCTGAATGCTTCTCATGTACAACTGGTAACATCATTGGGTTACTTTTCCGTATCAAACTGCTTTTCCCCTCTTACTTAGCTTTAATCCCCCCACCCCACCCCACACCTCCAAGAATCAAGGCATTGGAAACTTTTACAAATATTTATAAAAATGATGTTAGGGCTGAAATGAGTAGAGTTCCCTAGGATGTATGAGGCCCTAGGTTCTACCCCCAGGGTACAAAAAACAAAACAACCAAACCAAAACAACAACAACAACAAAACGGCTCCAAATCTTGAGAGATGAATGTGTTCTAATTTTAATGCATGCAGGAAGAGAGTCAGGGTGCCTGTGTTATTGTTCTTTCCATAGTGACCACATTTTTTCCCACCTTCCCCCTGACACTCAGAGTCCTCATGGCTGTTCCTCTGAGAACAGCTTTTCTTTCTCTTTTTCTCTGAAATTTAGCCCCAGACACCATAGCTTATTCATCTAAATATTTTGGGCTATTAACCTGTTGTGTCTTTCCTGTAATTGTCAAAAGTCTGGCAACCCTGTTAAGGCTGTGTTATTTTATTTACATAACAACATACAAGTTTGTTTCACTTTTGGAGTTCATTAATAATAGTAACAGTAGAGACAGAACTCAGCTGGGTGTTGGTGGCACACGCCTTTAATCCCAGCACTTGGGGAGAGGCAGGCAGATCTCTGTGAGTTAGAGGCCAGCCTGGTCTACAGAGGGAGTTCCAGGACAGGTTCCAAAACTATACAGAGAAACCCTGTATGGAAAAACAAACAAACAAACAATAACAACAACAAGCGACAAAAAGACAGATCTCTTTAAAAACTAAAACAATTCATCCCTCCCTCCCTTTCCCCTCCCTCCCTCCCTCTCTCCTTCCCATCCTCTCTCTTGTGTGTGTGCATGTGTGCCTGAGTGTATATTTGTATACCATGTATGTGCAGGAGCCCACAGAGGACAGAAAAGAGTATCAGGGCCTCTAGAATTAGACCTATAGACTGTGTAAGCTACCATGTGGGTCCTGGGAACTGAACCTGGGTCCTTTGTAAGAGCAGCTGGATCACTTAACCACTGAGCCATCTCTCCAGCTCTACAGATATTTTTCAAGGTTTTCAGTGCTGTAGTTGTTTTGGAATCAAGTCCTTAGGAATCACTATGTGTTGATTCTCTTCTGTTGTCATGGGGATTGTGTAACACTAGAAGAGAGCCAGTCTGGCTGTTATGAGCATCCTTATGTATCCTAGGTTGGACTTGAGGACAATGGGACAATCTACTGTTCTCAGGTCAGTAACACTTTTGCTCACTATAAACCATTGTGTTCACTTTGATATCCCCCTAAGAATGAACAGAAAATTAGTTGTAAATTGCACTGCCCCTCCCCATTTTATAGCTATTATGAGTACCTGGATGGACCTTTATAGATGAAATCTTATTTTCAAGTATATTGATGTATGAGCCCGTCCCATGCCCAGGAACAGTATCATGTCATTTGTTTTACTATTGACAGTTTAGAGATGAGCATGAATGGAAGGGAAAGAAAACCAACAAAGTGGTTGTCCTTGAACAAAGCCTACTTTTTCACCCAACTCTTATCAATTCTGTTTCCTAATCACACAGCTAGCTGTGTTACTGACACATTTTCGTGAGAAGATGTGCTGCCACTAAACTTACCCAGCATAGTCAGGCTATGATCTTCAAGACCTTTCCCAGTGACCCTAGATCTTTGTGGTAAGCATAGAGAGGGGGCTGCGGATTTCAGCAGTGATACAGGCTAGGAATGGTATAATCTAGGGGTCTTGATCAGGTTCATTTCAGCTAAAGAATTAAAAGGAAGGAAAAACATCTGAAGCGCAAAGGTATGAGCAGAGAAATCCCATGCTGTGCACACAAAATCAGCACACATGCAACAGACATAGACAAAGACCCTCGACCAACCAGGGGGAGCAGTTGGGAAAGCTAAGCTATCTATTCTCTTCTGGAGGCCTGGGGGTTTTGAAGTCCCTGAAGAATCTTCCTTCCCTATTTCAGGGTCAGTCAGTTTGAAGACAGGTAGGTTGGTTGACTGTCCTGATCTGGTCTTGAACTTGCTGAGCCAGTCTATCAGAGGGAGCCTGCTGGTGGGAGACAAAAGCTGCCAGGCTTTGGAAACTCAGAAGGTTGAGGAAGAAAGGGCCATCTTGGAAATGTACCACCTTTATTGTCTAGGTCTGACCCCTCTTTCTTCCTGTCTGCCTACCAGAGAGTCTGTCTAATCAAACATTTAATCTCAAATCTCCAGAGGGTTATTTATTTATTTTATGTCCCACACCTGTATTTGGGCCATGTGTAGAAGAGGGGTGTGGGGTGTGTTGTTCACTGCCTTGGGGGATTCGTCAAAGAATCTGTGAGCTTTCATGACACATACTCTAAGCACTGGATGACCTGCTCCTGGGTACCATATGCCTATGTCTAGACAGTCAGCTTGGCAGCCCTTATCTTCCATCCTATCAGTGTTGGTCATTACTCGTTATGTGTCAGTATCTTAATTTGGATATTTTGTTGCTGTGAAGAGACACCATGACCACAGCAACTCTTACAAAGGAAACTTTTAATTAGGGTGGTTCACTTACAGTTTCAGAGATTAAGTTCATTATCATTATGATGGGGAGCATGGCGGCATATGGGCAGACTTGGTGCTGGATGAATAGTTAAGAGTCCTACATCTTTCAGGCAACAGGAAGTCAACTGATAGTCACACTGAGGGAAGCTTGAACAAAAGCGACCTTAAAGCCCACCCCATAGTGACCATTTCCTCCAATAAGACCACACCTCCTTAAAGTGCCACTCCCTTGGGGGAGCCATTTCTTCCAAACCACCAAGGTCAGT